GGCGAGCCGATGGGGCAAGCACCAGGGCGGCCTTTAGACGGGCGGCGGCAAGCAAGCAGGCGTTTCAGCTGATCAGGGTTCGCGCCTTTTTCGGGCGGTGGCAGGTAGGCATCGAAGAAGAAAAACCGGCACAAGCATGAACTTTCGACGGTCCGCACGGGTTTCTTTCATGGGCGTCCAGCCCCCCCGGCGGCGCTTCCAGCGCAGCCCCTGGCGCGCGGAGCGCGCCAGGGAGGGGGCTCCCAGCGCAGATCCAAGAAATCCGCGCGGACCGTCGATACACCCTGCGAAATGCTTAAGAAATCATGGGTTAAGAAATTCATGGTCTCAGAAATCGAATAAAACCCAGAACTTCTATCAACAAATCCTGGGATCTACATCAAAAAGTTAAGAATCATCGAGACTTTGGGCGAAAACTTAGGTTTTCTTAAACATCGCCTAAGGTGTAGGTTATATTGATGCCGCGTGTTTTTCTAAGGCGGGCAGTCTCCTCCGTCTTTTTCCTGCCGCGCGGACGCCCGTGCGCCGTTTTTGAGTGCTCCCGTGCACGCCTCGATACACCTTAGACAATGCTTAAGAAATCTTAAATGTTCGGCCAGAGTCTCGAGTATTCTTAATGTTTTAATGTAAGTCCTAAGATTTGAACAGACATTTTGGGTTTTTGTTCAAGTTCTGAGACTATGAATTTCTTAACCCATGATTTCTTAAGCATTTCGCGGGGTGTAGGCCGCTTGCCTGTCTTGATTCGACCTCTGGTCCCTGTCAGGGTTGCGCAGGTCAGTCCGACGATTCGAGCAAGGGTGCGCTCCGTACCCGAGTCCAGATCAAAATCGGCTCCCTGTGCCCCCTATCCCCACGTCCTTTTTCCCCCTCGTCTTCACACCCCTCTTGCGCCTCCTCACTCTCTTCTTGTCTTTCCCCTGCACAGCCGACCTGATGGTTCAGTCCGTGTGCCCTGTAGCTCGCGACTTCTTCCTTGGGGTTGGTCTTTCATGCTATCCTGTTTCCTGATGGTCCCAGGGCCCGAACATGGCTCTCAGAGGCCGAAGTCGAGGACATACACGGGGATCGAAGCCAGCCTGGCGAAGAACCGAATGTCATGCAGTCTGCCAGTCGCGCAGGACGTCGTGGCCCTCTCCTCATAGACAGCGCGCCGCGAGAGGGATGAAGCTCAGGGCACTGCAGATGGGGGGCTGGCGGGCCAAGCGAATCTCGTCGAGGAGCCACGATCCTCGTGAGGGATGTGCTGAAATTTGCTCGGTGCCGCCATGCGTCTGCGCACGCTGACACCGTAGGTGGAGTTCCCTCCTGGCCCGCGACACTCGTGAGAGGTGTGCAAACATTAGCGCGGTGCTGCCATGCGTCGGCGACTCCCTCCGGCAGTAGGTTGAGTTCCGCATAGGGCCGCGATACTCCTGGTGAATCTGCGAATTTTGCACGGTGCCGCCATACTTCTGGAGCCTCTGACCGTAGGTGAAGCTACCTAGGGGACTAGGATCTTCGTGCCGCGAGGTCGCCATGCTTCTGGGTCCACTGACATCGTAGGCGGAGGCCCGTACAGGGCCACGATCCTTGTGAGGGGTGTGCCGACATTGGCGCCGTGCCGCCATGCCTCTGCGCCCACCGGCACCGTAGGTAGAGCTCCCTGGGGGGCCACGGTCCACGCGAGGGGTGTGCCAATATTGGCGAGGTATCTCCATCCGTCTGCGCCTACTGACACCAGAATCCTCGTGATGGGTGTGCCGAAATTGACGCGGTGCCGCCATGCGTTTGCGCCCAGTGACACCGTAGGTGGATCGTCCTGTTGGGCCACGGTCTTTGTGATGGGTATGCCGAGATGTGTGCGGCGCCGCGTTGCTTCTGGGCCCACTGGCACCGCAGGTGGAGTTCAGTCTAGGGCAACGATCCTCGTGATGGGTGTGCCGACATTGGCCAAGTGCTGCCATGCGTCTGCCCCAACTGACACCGTAGGTGATGTTTCATCCAGTGCCACGATGCTCGTGAGGGGTGTGCCGAAATTGGCGCGGTACCGCCATGGTTCTGGCCCACTTACACAGTAGGTGGAGCTTCCTTCAGGGGCCAAAATCATGCTTTCGTGCCCACTGACCCCGGATGTGGAGCTCCCTGTGGAGCCACGCTCCTCGTGAGGGGTGTGTCGACATTTGCGCGGTGTCGCCTTGCGTCCATGCCCACTGACACCGCAGGTGGAGTCCCGTATAGTGCCACGATCTTTCATGACGGGTTTGCCGAAATTTGCGCGGTGCCGCAACGCGTCTGCGTAGGCGGAGCTCCCTCAGGGGCCACAGTCCTCGTGATGTTGTCCCGAAGTGGACATTTCCAGGGCAGAGGCAAGGAGGGGAGGCTGAAGGGCAGAGGCGAGAAGGGTACTGGTCAGAGCGTGAATTACCTACCCCGCCTTCGCTTCCAGGCAAAACCAAGTCATACCACGCGCCTCCTCGTCAAGCGGCCTGACCAGCGCAGGCCGTAGTTTGGCGTCGCTTGGTGTCCCTTGGAAGCGAGGGTGGTCGAAAGCGAGGTCGGTTTGTTTGCGCCCTAACTGGGGGGAGGTGGGAGGAGACACGGGTCGCCGTGGATCCTAGACGAGGGCCCGAAGTCCACGGAGCGGCGTGGAAGAGCCATCCGCCGGACGTCTGAATACTTTAAAATGAATATTAATACCACCACCCCCAAGAAAACGGACCCCCCTCCAAGTGCGACTGAACATTCCGGACCCCCCTCTTCGACGGGGCGTCTTAGTAAACCGGACCCCCGAAGCTTCAATCCGCAGAAAGCGCCCTCATGAACCGGACCCCCCCAGTTACAAAACAGGCGCCCTAGAAAACCGGACCCGGGGGACCGACCACGGGCGATAATGAACCCCTTGGGAGAATAAAGTTTGCGGTTCTGGCGGGGATAATAATAGATGTTCCCGGGGAAGGTAAGTTATGATGATGATGATGATGATGATGATGATGATGATGATGATGATGATGATGATGATGATGGTGACGATGATGACGATGTTGATGGTGATGACGGCACAAGACTCACTCGAGAGATCTCGAGGCTCGTGACTAACCAGGCGCACGACAAAAGGCTGACTCGAGCGATCTCGAGGCTCGTGTCTAAGCAGGCGCCTACGCGAGTCGCTCCTGCATGGAGGGGGGGAGGGAATGCTCGTAGTATTACAGTCGACTCGCGTAGTAAGGATGGGCGGCAAAGATGCAAGGTCCTTGCAAGGCCCAGAGATGGGCCGAAGTGGCAAGAATGCAAGGGTATAGCAAGATTGCTCATCCCTACCACGCGGATTGATTGTAATATTACTAATAGGGAGCACGAGCAGGAAGAGAGGAATAATAATGGTGGGAGACTGAAGTGAGAAGAGGATGGCCCCAGGATCGATTTTGAAAAAAATAGATTCGGGGCCTTATGTTTTTCATTTGTAAAAACAGATTCTTGTCAATCGTTTTCAGGATCGCATGGAGGGGGGGGCTCCATGGTGGGACCCCGCGGGGGATAAAAAAACCAGAGATAAAAAAGTTCGGCCCCTGGGGGGGAGGCGGAAGGAAGAGGAAAGAGAAAAGGAAGAGAAGCGTTTTTGATACTGCTGCTAGTCAACATGATATGATAGCAACTCGGATCCCCGCAACTTCCCCGTGGATTATAAAATTCGGCCTCCGCGCCTTCCTCCACAATGAAATCCGAATGGCCGGAGAAAAAACATTCGGGGGGTTAAGGGGGGGATACTTCATTATCGCCCGTGGTCGGTTTATAAGGGATTTGGAGTATATGGCCGCCCCCGGCGCGGGGAGTCGCTGGGAAAATTTGTTGCATCCAGCTGGTTCGCTGATCCCCCTTGTCGCAGGCTTAGAGGTTGACACCAACACCAATATCGGCGGTGTGCCTCCACCGAGGGAAGAATCTTACGAGCTCGGTGATGGTGGTAAGATTCGGGCTTCCAAGTTGACCGAGATATCACCACCGACCACGAAATCGAGGATCATCTCCCCCCTGTGGAGGCAACCCCTGTGTTGGTGTGGGTGCCAATTTCCAGGCCTCCAACCTTTGCTGTCTCCCCGCGTCGCCCGGCGCCAATCCTCACCGAACAAAAGCAGAGAAGGCATGCTCCACGGGCTCCACGGGGCGCAGCGGCGACGCCCGCGCGGGCGCTCCAGGTGGCATGGCCACGAGCTGCCCGAATCTGGCCCGCACTGAAGGGCCTCCGACATCGGAGAGCGGCGGCTGTCCATGATCCAGGGGCCCGCCCCCAGACCCCCGACGTCAGGATTTTCTCATGACGTCGACCCCCAGAGGTCTCGACCCGTTCCCCAGCAGCACCGGTTGCTCGTGCTGACTTGCTTCTGTTGGCGGCCCCGCGGCCCGGTAGAAGGGCCCCGAGAGGCCGAGAATTGAGAAGACCCTTTCGCAATGATTCTTCCAGGAGGGAAAAAAACACACAGACACAACTAATCGTCGATTCCCAGGGAATATGGGAAAATATTGGAAGTGGGGGGGGAGACAGAAACCCCGAAAATATGGGAAAATAGGGGGAATCTTTTTATTTGTGTGTATTTATTTGTGTGTCCCAGGGCCCCTTCATTCTTGCATGACCCGAGGGGCTCTGGGCCCACTGCCAGCAGCCATTGTTTTCTCCAAGGTTTTTGCTTGATCTTGCTCCGTAAAGGGGATTTTGATTGGGACGGGGAGGAGGAGGAGGAGGAGGAGGAGGAGGAGGAGGAGGAGGAGGAGGAGGACGACGAGGAGGAGGAGGAGGAGGAGGAGGAGGACGAGGGGGAGGGGAGGAGGAGGAGGAGGAGGGAGGAGGGAGAGGAGGAGGAGGAGGAGGAGGAGGAGGAGGAGGAGGCGGAGGAGGAGCCACCGCCTCCTGCCAGCAGCCGCCGCCCACCGCCGTGGCGACGTGGGGCTGCCGCGGGCGCGCCCCGCAGGGCAGCCATCGCGGCGCGCCCGCGGGCAGCGCCGGCGCCCCGCGGGCGCCGCCC